TGGAAAACAGGATGGAATAACAATTGCCTCTAATATTACCACCACCACCTAATACAAGCATACAATCACTTTTAGGTATATTTCCTTTCCACCATTTTTTCCTAGGAATGAATATTTATATACATATATACATATATATAAATGTACACACATATCCATATACGCAAATGCACGCACAGTAGATATTGCTTCATAACCTACTTTTAATATCGAGGAAGAACATAGTGGAATCCCAGCTCTACCACCTTTGTGTAACCGTGGACAAATTGTTTAATTTCCTGGGTCTCATTTTCCTCATGTTTAATATGAGGATGATGATGATAATAATAATACCTACCTTAAGGATTATTGGAGAGATTAAAATTGATAATATATGCAAAGCATTTAAAATACGACTTGTCAAAGATTTTCCATTTTATTACATAGTCCAGAACCACAATTTTCAATCATTAAATAATATTTTATTGACTTGACAGACAAATGTCACTTATCTGGTCACCTACTTTTGAACATTTAAATTGCTTCTGATTCTTCATGATTACAGACATCCTTGTGGTGAGCAAATGAATACTTACAGTCTTTCCATATTAAAAGTATGTCAGTAGAACAGACCGGCAAAAGTAGGATTATTCGATAAAATGCATGACTGAGTTAAGGTTTTTGATTTAAACTGTGAAATTGTGGCCGAGAGAGAACATTTTTAGATATAGAGACCTTCTAGGCCAACAAAAATGAGCCAAGGGAGAAGCAGCAAAGAAAAGTAAGTGTGTGTGTGTGTGCGTGTGTGTGTGTGTGTGTGTGCACATACACGGGATGGGGTGGGGAGAAGAATGTAGAAAACAGAATTTCCAAAGACACTTCTTAACCTTAGAGGTTAACCTTAGAATTTAGAAAAACTACTTTATCATTTGAGTCAATGAGAAAATAAAATGGGTGGAGATCTAGAGAAACTTTGAAGCAGGAGTTAGGGAAGCTGCTGAAACACAAGCTGGCTGCCTTTACTCTTCAAAGTAAATCAGGGGACAAGCTCTCCTCCTGAGAGAGATTGAGGTGTGAGCTAGCAGTTTACTTAGAGACAAGGCAGAATACTCTAATGTCACTTACTGCCACTAATTTCTGAGTTCTGAATTATGTGTAGACTTGGTCTCTGCTCATCATAACCTTGAGAGGTGAAAGGCCAAAGGGGAAAGTGCCCAGACAGTTCCCACTTTAGAGATTCCAAATCTACAAGATGATCTTTTTCAGGTTGACAATCTTCTCCCTTGTGGCTGTGCTGTGGGCTGGTGAGATCACTGGGAAATTATTACTGTCTTCAGTTGCTCTCCTCTCATTTTCTCTGGAAAATGGCTTCTGTTTCCATCTCTCCACCCAAACTGCTCTTAAGTGACCTCCAGCTTGCTAATTCTAATGGTCACACTCTCAGTCTTCCACTTGACCAATCATCGGACTCCCTCTCCAACTCGAGATACTGGGTTCACTTGGCTTCCAAGCCTCCAAACTCACCTCGCTTGTCTTCTCCTTTGCTTCTTCTGTACTTTGCTGGTTGCTCCTTCTTGAGTCTCTTCTACTTGTACCTTATTTCCCCCATCCTCTGAATGTTGCTGTGCTTCAGGGCTCACAGTCCCTGGGACCACTTCTCTTTTCTCTCCACAGGCTCTCCCTCGGTTATTTCACCCAATGTACTGGCTTTAAATATCCTCTATCTGCTGATGACTCCCACATCGCATCTCCTGCCAGATCTCCTCCCTAAGCTATCAGCCCAGAAATCCAGTTGCCTCCTTGATATCTCCTCTTAGACATCTGATGGGCAGCTCGATCTTAACATGTCCCAAACTCAACTCATGATATTATCCCCAAATGTTTGTCTTCTCCATCCTAGTAAATTGGCAACACAAATCTTCTAGTTGCTCAGGCCAAAAAACTTGGAGTCATCTTTGACTCCTCTATAACTTTCATACCCCATAGGTAACGTCAGGAAATCCTGTCAATTCTACCTTCAGATATATCCAGAACCCATCCACTGCTTCATGACTACGGCAATGCACTACTCCAGGAGAAATCACTCATGTTTTAGCCGGTGTGCACAGTGCTCCCTAGAGCAGCGCACTGCACAGCCTGCAAGGCACTGTGTGCTGGCTCTGGTATCACCTTAGTTCAAACCATCATCATCTCAAACCTGTATCATTGCAATAGCTTCCTAACTGGTTTTCCTGCTTCTGCCCTCGCCTGCTTGCTGTCTATTCTCAACATAGTAGCAAATTTCAGTAAGTCAGATCACCATTCTACCTAGAACCCTCAAATGGATTCTAATCTCACCCAGAGCAAAGGCAGAGTCCTGACAATGATCTGTGAGGCCCATTTAATCGGCTCTCTCTCTCCCATTACCTCCTTCACTTTACTCACTCTCTTCCAACCACAATGGTGTTTTTGTGGTTTCTTGAACATTCAGACAAATGACTGTCTCAGGGCCTTTGCACCTGCTATTATAGTGTGGCTTGCTTCCTTACTTCTTCTAGATCTTTATAATTAATGTAAAATTCTTGGGAGTCTTTCTCTGACCATTCTATTTAAAATTGCAACCCTTTGCCCCTAATACTTCCTTGTCCCCATTTCCTGTTTTATTTTTCTTCCCAGTAGTTACTGATATCTAATATGTTATGCTTTACTTATTTATCTTGATTATTGTCTGTTTCCCCTACTAGAATCTAAGTTCCACGAGGGCAGCAATTTTTCCCTGTTCTTTCCACTGCTTTATCCTGAGGACCTGAAATACTTCCTGGTACATAGAAGGCATTTAATTATGTATAATTCTTTTTTTTTTTTTCAGCTATAGAAACAAAAGTTTAGTCAGGGTGTAAAGAACTGAGAATGGATACGGAAGGTTTTGGAGGACAATTGGGGAAAGTAAAATCAGGTTAAAAATAAGTGAGAAATTAAGATGCACAACTTAACCTTCAGAGGCAGTCTAAATACTGGTCATTGTTATGTTCCCTGGCTCCTTGCTTTGTGGTTGCCTGTGAAGATTAGATTCAAACATTCATGGGATATGCGAGCTAGAAAGGATCTTCAAGAACACCCTCACTTCTCAGAGGAGGAGTTCCTCTTTTCTCTAAGGGCTGTTGGTAGGGTTTTAAATTATTCATTGCAACAAAGACATGGTCCGCTTGGCTCCCTTATGTTAACATATGACACGACAAACCGGGAATGCGGAAACTGGCAGCTACAGTGGGGGCAAATCCTTTCACACAACAAAGACCAAAATGGAATTAGCCTCTCTCATCCAAATGTTTCTAAACAAAGACTATGCCCATGGTTGTATCACAAACACTTATTCTAAGGAATAAATGTACTTTTCCACTTTTATTAGCTGTTATCACCTAGCTGAGTTAAGGCGCTATTCTTGGCGAAAAAAAATCATTGATGAGTTAAGTTCATGTAAAAAGGGATTCAGATAGAGAAGTACATTCTTTTCAAAGAAGCCAAGTGTCAGACTTTTAGTCATTGCAATTCTCTTTGGCAGATAAGCAAATCATGGGCCAAATAAAGAGCTAATGATGTTAGTATCATTTATTTGACTTAAAAATTTACTTTCCCCCAAAATAAGAATTAAGTTAATGTTAAAAAACATTTAATGTAATGGTTCCAAAGCTTACATTCTTTATTTGGAGAACTGTGTCAGACACGGGTTTGAGGTGGACAATTGCTTCTGTCCATTCTAGCTGTTCAGTTTATTTCTAGAAACAGAATATCGAGACATGTGTGTGTGGGGGGGGTAGTCAAAGAAGCATGTTTCCCTCCAGATCTGTATTTACATTTATTTTATTTAGGGCAAAATTAGGAACCTTCTCTGAGCACATGCAGAAACTGACATTAGGAAAATAGGTGGCCCATAGGATTTGCTAAGTGTATGAAAAACCCAGCATGGAGCTAAAAACTGGTCAGAGATAAAGTAGATCAGAGGATTTACACACTGAACAGTAAGAATGCATATTATCTGTTTTTATTAGGGACTCCAGTTCATGTTATAGCATAAAATTTATCTTCAGTTTTTTGTTGTTAAATTTTTTAAAACTAAAGAGAATTAGAAGACAGACTTTGGCTCTCACTTCTCGGAGAAACTGAAGAACATATCAAAAAAAGATGAGGTATATTAATAGTTATATCAAATAAATATTTAGTTATTGACTGCAACCACTAGTTACAACTTCTACATCAAATTAACAATCCGGGGTTCAGGCGTGAGGTAACTGTATGGGAGACTAATTTTTTCTGTGTTTCTGATTAATTTGGAAGAAAATACTTTACAGAATATAGATTTGATACTAAATTTCTGAACGTCAAGAGATTTTGAACATGAAGATGGATGATCATCTTTCCCTTTGTGTTTTTCTTTCACCTCAGTTTAAGTTCTTTCATTAAATTTTTTTCCTACATAGTCACATAAACTATAGGGAAAAATGCTTTGTTGACAATTTTCTTCCAAAAATAAAATTTACAAATGCTCAAAAGAATGAGAAAGCTTTGGGCTGGCTCCGTGGCCGAGTGGTTAAGTTTGAGCACTCCAGTCGGTGGCTCAGGGTTCTGCTCGTTCGGATCCTGGGTGTGGACATGACACTGCTCGCTCATCAGGCCACGCTGAGGCAGCATCCCACATGTCACAACTAGAAGGACCCACAACTAAAAAATACACAACTATGTACTGGGGGGATTTGGGGAGAAAAAGCAGAAAAAAGAAAAAGACAAAAATCAGACCAATTTGAATAACATGGAAATCAAAGTGCGTGATGTCTCTGGTTCCTTTGGCAGAATGTAATCTTTTCTATATTTATTAAAAAGAAGTATAAGTGTGTATGCTCAGCAGTTCTAAGATCTCCTTCAGAACTCATATTCTATAATTCCGTGAAACTCAAGATTTAAGTTATTTTGTACAAAGCAAGGAAAAGAGATGTGCTATTTCCTAACCAGCTACAAGTAAAACTTTCATAAGATTATTCACTTACCACAAGGCCATCTTGATTCTCATTGTGCTCAGAAAGTTTAGAACTGGATTTCTGACGTTTGGGTTTGCCCCTTTCTCCAATAGAACCAGAAGCACTCTCATGTAATTTTTCCACTTCTGGAGCATTCAAAATACAATCGTCAAGGTTGGTGAACCCAGAAGGAATATTTTCTTTGTTGATAAGTCCCCTTGAATTGGAAAAAAAAAAATAGCTTAATTTTAAAAGGTAAAAGGGACATTTTAATGACACCAACAGTGTGTTAACTAGGAAGTCAGAAGAGTGCCTAGAAATTCCAGTTTGCATCTTTGATCAAAATCTGAGCAGACTGCCGCTCCTGAGAGCACTTGGCGCCGAAGAAATCACATTACAAGAGAAATTATTCCTGGAGGCAAATTGGCAAGGGCTGTTTTTCTACCAATGAAAAGCTTTTGTGATTGTACCAAAAGTAATTTGTATTCTAACAGGTAGAATATTGCAAGCTTACAAAGAAATTTCCCACTATTCACAGATTTTATATATATATAAATTTATATATAAAATATATATAATAAAATATAATAATTATATATACATAATATACGCACTCGTGCACACACATGTACATACATACACACATAAATCTTATAAATTAATACAGTGTTTGGAGAAAAATCTGAAAAGGAAACATGCTTTTTTTTCCAGAATGGGACATACTGATTTTCCCAAATGATAAAGACATTTCAACACAGTAGAAATGCATTAATACTTAAATGCGACTGCATTAGATAATCTTGGTGGAAATAGTACAGTAAAAACTATGGCAAAGCACTTTAACTGAAATATGGATTTGTTACTTCCCGGTACATACAGAGTTCCAGCATGTAAGCTAATAACTGGAGGTCCTACATTACTTAGTCTTAGAAGTAGATATGAATGTCACAATTACAGAATTTAATTCATTTAACATCCTTGAAAGAGTTTTCTTTAAGTATTTTAAATATTCCCTTTTAAGAGGTTTTCACAAAATTGAATTACTTAGCAAAATGTCTGTTTTTTACTACAACAAGGAACAAATTAAGCCGTGAGTGTGGCACCAAGGCTTGGCAAGGTACAAACGAGTGAGGTTTTACTCTTCCTCATGGTGTGAGCCTAAAGGTACCTCCCTAAACACCTAAAGCTCTATCTTGAAATAAATAAGCTCGAAAGAGTAAAAATAGATGACCATATTTTACTATCAGTTCAACCACATCCAAAAATGAGAGAGAGTGTTAAATATTTATTCTGCAATCTAAATTCATATCCTGTGTTAGATGGGCTATAATGGAGGCAAAATTTTGAATTAAATATTATCATAATATTTTCGAAGTTATACTCTCCTTGGTGATCTTTAATATTCCATATTTAATTTAGTTTTATCTTATACAACTTTTAACGTAAACATCTATAGACTTAGTAAAATTATATAAAAAATTATGCATCATTCATAAGAAATATCCTAAGGATAAAATACCCGAAGGGTTACGGAAAAGCTGATGGGGACTAACACGTGGCAACTATACTCACGACACACTCAGTCTCTCCCCTCTGTGCATGCAGAGCAGAGCCTTCTGTGGATGGCTGGATGAGTTTGGTCTCAAATTCAAAATTATTTGTTTTACTATTTAAGTTCTGTCTTATCACTTTTCATATTTTTCCTAACTCCTGAGGTAGACATCCAATTATCATTTTTCAATGGAGTGGTTTTTTCTTTGGAGGCTTTTAGGGACTAAACTGTCTCCCCCCCCAGTTCGTATGTTGAAGCCCCAACCCCCAGTGTGACTGCTCTGGAAGACAGGGCTTCAGGAGGTAATTAAGGTGACATGAGTCACAACCTGAGAAGGTGGGGACTTAATCCAATAGTACTGGTGTCCTTACAAGAGGAGGAAGAGGCGCCAGGAGAGCACGCACACAGAGCAGGGCCGCGTGAGGACATGCGAGAAGGCATCGCCTGCAAGCCCAAGAGAGAGGTCTCATCAAAACCAGCCCCGTGAGCGCCTGCATCGAGGACGTCCAGGCTCTCAGAACTCTGAGAAAATACAGTTCTGTTGTTTCAGCCACCCAGCCTGTGGTGCCTTGTTATGGCCGCCCAAACAGACTAATACAAGAGCTAAAAATTATTTTTAGAAATTAAAAGACAAAGCTTATTTTATAATCTTTTTGAATAGTGAATGAATGACTGGAGTAAATCCTGTCTAAATAAATATATGACAATCTGACTCTGCAGTTGTGCTCATGTGGAAATCCTGTTCTTCTCAAAGGAAAGCCTGCTTTTGGGTAAGTCAAGGCCGCTCTGCCATGGCCCCCACGTGACTTGAGCAGCACTGGACACGGTCCTGCCTGCGACACCCCGACAGGTTGGCTCATATGGGACGTCACTGACATCTGACCTGAACTGAGATCTCTGTGGCCTCTCACTTTCACTTTCTAGATCTTATTTTTTGGTTTCTTTTTAGTTTCCTCCTCACCCCCACACACATACTTAATGTTCTAGCAATACTGAACCATTTATTATTCCCCTAATATAGCATGCTTTTCTTTTTTTTTTTTATTCCTTAAACTTTTACATTTTTATTGTAACAAATAATACTATAAGCCTGATGATGTTTCCTTAGGAATTCAGACAAATAAGAAATCATGTGCACTAAAATGAAGTATTTATAGTCTTAGTCTATCTTCTGCATTGCTTATTTAAAACATCTGCCATGATGATTTTTGTATAGACTTTATTGATTCTTTAACCTAACCTTGAAATACGGTCACCATGAGTTTCAACAATATATTTCCTTAAATAGTTGCAGCTCTAAGATATCTGCCTGTTAGTGCACCTCCTGGGGACATACTGGTGAGGACCTTCTTGAGGGCAAAAGAAGTAGGTCTGGGGCCGTGAGAGATAAAGGCCTTTCCTCCAAAGACCTGGAGAGCTCAGAGAAGAGGTTTTGTGTGGGCTGGGAGCTGAGGAAGAAGGACTACCGAGACATGACAGTGACCCAGTGTGTCAGGTTAGGAGGGGCCCTCATGACTAGGAGGATGAGGCCAACAAGCAGCACACAAGGGCACTTCTGCATGCCCAGACCACGCACCGAAGAAAAAGAACAGCAAGACTGTCAGTTACCACGGCTACACACAGTCTGCACCCCAAGATGCTCTCCCTCAGTGCACAGCTCTGGCCCGACCACAGTGAGTGAGTCGAACCAGCGTTGAAGGGGATACCGGAGAAGACGAATTAAGGGGGAGGCTAGAGGTTCATGGGCCCTTAGGTGAGGAGTCCGTCTCTACCATTCTCCATCTCCTTTTGTTCTCCTGATGTTGACAGTAAAATATAATCAAGATAACTTATACTAGAAACTACTCTGGACCTGGGCAACTCGATACTTAAATTCTGCAAGAGAGGTTACCCTGTTTCATATTTCTCTTCCTGCCTAGCCCCTGTTCATTTGACCTTACCCCACATGCTGTTCCCTGCCATCGCGTGCACCCACCATCACCACTGCCACCGCCCATCTTTGCTATCCCTCTGTCCAAAGACAACGGAAAGCACAACGTCGTGATACACTAAGGATATCTGAAAAATGCAAAGTGTTGCTACATACTATTTGGCAAAAATGAGGCAGAAGATAAGAACAGTGTTAAATGAATAATTTATACTTGCTGTATAACATAATATAGGAGATACACAAACTAATTATACTTCTAAACACTTTCTATAAAGCTTAGTCAGTAGCTAATTTTAAATGTAAATATCTCCTATATTAAACCTTTTCTATTTTCTAAAGGGAATATTATAATACCTGCTCCTATCCACCAGATCCAAAACAAATGTTTTTTAAAAAGCGCTGCATATGCCACTTGAAAAGTTAGTGGGTTATATTGTTGATACTGTTTCATTTCTAAAATTACATTTGTTAATATAGCCCTTAAACATCTCAATGATAGGCAACATGGAATTTACTTAGAATATTTATCTTTTGCGTCTTTAAGAAAAAAACTTTTTTGGTAAATTTTTTTTGTTTGTAAAGATTTTGATGTAGATTATGAGTCCAGGTGAAAGAGAATGAGCGGGACTAGGGTCTGGTTTAGTCTTGGACATTTAATCAGGAGTTCAAAATAATAACCTTAGAGACTAAATGCTAAGTAGATACAAATAAACTTAAAATTTTTGGGAAACATATATGAATATAGTCTATTATACATAAATTTATTTTCCTTGACAATTTGATCATGATTATTCAATAATATGAATGGGATTGTTCACCTGTATTTTATCAAATCTTTGAATGGAGAATAAAGTTCCTTGTAATACTATTCTCGAAATTCATGCTGTGGGAATGCCTTAAAACATGTCATCTAGTAACAAAGAACTCAAGTATTTCCTCTCCTGATTAGACTTCAGCTCAACCCCTCTTACACTGATCATAATCATCTGTCAGACTATTATAGTGATAGTCTAGTATTTAATCAGATCAATACAGTAGGGAAATCCACTGGTTCATCAGCTAGTGTAACAGCCAACTGAACGCTGTCTAAGCAAAAACCAAAAAACCCACCGCTGGATAGGCATATGGCAATTTTCTCCTCCAATGGTTCAGCATCCCTCTAAATAAGATATTCATGAGGAAGCTATGAAATGTACTACATCAGAGGTGGCTTCTTACAACATACCAAACATCTAGACAAAATCGAAGTGTTTATTCAATCACATACGAATTTCCAAATGTTAGCTCAGTTTAGAATGGTCAGAATGAAACTTTTCGAGTTTTAAGCTAATTAGTGAAATGGGAGTGACCATAACATACTGACTAATTCAGGTGTATATTTTTAAAAGAAGAGGAGAAAATACAAACAAGAAGTATCAATGCCAACTCACAGGTCTCTGCCGCACCGAACTTCATCCTGCTCCTTGGACGGGCGCCGGCGCTGCCTGGTGGACGTGGTGGAAGATGCTGATGAGCTCCCAGATTCCGAGTCCTCTGAACTTTGGCCTCCGGAGCTATTAACATCAAAAAGATGCTGTTCTACAGCTGACCGGATGGTTCTTTCTAAGAGTCTGGTAAAAAAGAATAGAGTCAATCAAGCAATCAAATTGATCAACGATTGCCTTTAAAAATATGTGCCTGTCATTTTGGAAATATCAGTATTTCCAATGGGAGATCTACTATAGCTTCATGAGCAGACGGTAGATGAGGCATTAATCTCAGAATATTTGCATTGTGCCTTAAAAAGGAAACTAAACTGAACAAATTCTACCAGTTTGATAACCATGTTTCTCATCTTTGTGAGTCTAGGATTACTGAAACGCTCACAGCAAGTTTAACAACAACTACAGGAGGCATTCAGGAAATAAAGGTCATTTAATGTAAGGCAGAATGAGGAAAAGATTTTTTTTCCCCCATGGAATAATAATGGATCTATTCTTGCAAAGGTGAGTTTCCTCCAGGTTTCATACCAGTTCTGCAGAGGAGGACGGTAGGATTTACAAAGCAAACTGGCATGAATAATCTTATGATGCCTATTACTTATTTAGAATCCTTTTAAGATAAAACTATATAGGGAATAATGCTATTAAAAAAGAACAATTACTACTCAGAACAGAACAGAACAGAAAAATCTTTCCGAATCTCTATTCAATTAAACTGTGATGTATATAATTGAAGCTGTATTCATGTAAACACCCCAAAATATATTACTGAAGATGGAAGGACAGATTTACTTTGTTCAACCTCAGGAACACAGGAGAACACAGGGGCTGAGAAGAGGGCATGAAGAAACAGCTGAGGTGTCATTTTTTTTTTTCTAAAAATGCATGCTGATTTTATTTTCTCAATGGTTGGGAGAACAAGTGCTTATTCATCTGAAATAAATGAGCTGAGGGTTAAAAGTGATGACTGAAAATCTGCTTTTATAATAAAAAGGAGATTGTAATGGTAAAATATTATCTGACAAGTAGACTTTTTTTTTTTTTACTTTTTATTAAGATTATGACAGTTTACAACATTGTGAAATTTCAGTTGGACATTATTGTTAGTCATGTTGTAGGTGCACCATTTCACCCTTTGCGCCCACCCCCCCAGACCCCTTTTCCCCTGGTAACCACTAATCAGTTCTCTTTGTCCATATGTTTAACTTCCACCTATGAGTGGAGTCATATAGAGTTCGTCTTTCTCCCTCTGGCTTATTTCACTTAACATAATACACTCAAGGTCCATCTGTGTTGTGAATGGGACTACTTTATCCTTTTTTATGGCTGAGTAGTATTGCATTGTATATATATACCATATCTTCTTTATCCAATCATCAGTTGATGGGCACCTAGGTTGCTTCCATGTCTTGGCTATTGTAAATAATGCTGCAATGAACATAGAGGTGCATGGGACTTTTGGAATTGCTGATTTGAGGTGTCATTTTTAAGCTATATAATCTTTCTTTTTTTTTTTTTTAAGATTTTTTTCCCCTTTTTTTCTCCCAAAGCCCCCTGCTACATAGTTGTGTGTTTTTAGTTGTGGGTCCTTCTAGTTGTGGCATGTGGGACACCGCCTCAGCATGGCCTGATGAGCGGTGCCATGTCCACACCCAGGATTCGAACCGGCGAAACCCTGGGCCACCAAAGCAGAGCCCGTGAACTCAACCACTCGGCCACAGGCCGGCCCCTATATGATCTTTCAATGTCTAAACCTTCTTTTATCATTACACTATTTAATTCTGAAGAAGCTGGCATGGGAAATTCTAAACTTACTCTCCTCAAAGCACGTTTTCCTTCACTTGAAAAAAGAATCACATCCAAAGGCATCAAATTGTATACATTAATTATGTGATTTGTATATCAATTACACCTCAATAAAGCTGTGAAAAATTTAAAAACAGCCACATATATATTTTTTAAATTTTCAGATTGAGAAATACATTCACTTAAATAAAACGGGCTCTGAAAAATTTAAGAACTTTAGATTTTCCAAGTGTCATTTTACAATAGGGTCATAGTAATTTCATTAAAACTATCTTAAGACAATGAGCAAGTATGGTCTAACTTGGGCATTAGAACTTTCCTATTTACAACTCCACATTCCAACGACTCATGATTACCTAATAGTGGTACAGAGGAATGTCAGTAGGTTAATATACATACATACAGACCAACCCCACACCTTTTCCAAACTATGCAAGACATATAAGAAGGTTATTAGGAAACAAACAGGCAACAACACGTCAGTCTTGGTATAATTCTGGAATCTCTTTAAAATTCACAAAGCTGAGAGAAGTCAGTCCTGCTCTCTGATTGCTTCTGACCTAACAAAGAAGAAAAAATATTCCCAATTCTTCCTATTAGATCCAAATTCCTACCAATTAGCGCTTCTTCTAATTCTTCTTTCTTCCTCCTTATCACATCTTCCCCTCCTCCACTTGATCTCTGCTGATAGAAGATGCTCCAAAAAGCCCACCCACATCCCAGCAAGGAAGGAAGAGAGGTGGGTGCAACAGAAAATCTTTGGGTGAGGAATTATTTAGCGCCTAATATATGCCAGGCACTATTCCAGGTGTTAGGAATATGAGAGACAAGGTCCCTGTGTTTATGGAGCTCACACTGCTATGAAGACACATAAACAAATCGTGGAATTTCGGACAAAATAGAGTACAGGGTTGGAGAGGGACTGTGGGTTGTCAGGGAGCCTTCTCGGAAGAGATGACATTTGAACAAAGAGGTGAATGATAAGAAGGCGAATGGTCAGGCTGAGGAACAGCTAGTGCAGGGCTCCGAGGTAGACACAGGCTTGGCCTGTTGCAGAAACAGCAGGTCATGTCGTTGAAGCATAATGAGCAATGCGGTCAGAGAGGTAGGCAAGGGCAGATAACTGGAGTTCAGATTTTAGTGTAAGTGCAATTGGTAGCCTTAGGAGGAAAGACAGAATTAACAGCGCACTGTGCTGCCCTGTGGAAAAAGGACTTGTTGCCATCAGTAATTTGCTTTCTTTTCTGTGTCCCTATTAGACTGTGGAGTCCCTGAAGGCAGAGCTCAAGGCTTATTTGACATTACACACCTGACGCTATGCTTGGCGTGTTGCCGGCGCTCAATAAATGCAGGCTGATTAAAACTAGTGAAGGGAGAAGTAAAGACACGGTTGATGCTTTAACCTTTAATGGCGCCCCCACTGCAAGATACCTCCCAAAGCACATAGATTGCTTTGCACATATTAATTGACTCTGACATTATTTTGACTGAAATAAACAAAAATCTCACATGTTCAAACTCTTGAGCTATCTCTAGTCACACACCCACACAGCAGCTCAGATAGGAACGCTTCTTATTCAGACCTCTCCTCTGTGCAGTTTTAAAAATCATCATTGGTTACTTATTGTATTAATCTTCCAATACCACACACCATTAGAATAGCTTTTTTCTATTTAATAAATCGGAAAAGAGGGTAAAAAAATCCAATCCAAATAACTTACTCTCCAGTCGTTGAAACATTGCTGACCTGGGATACATGGGCACTGTGGAAACAAAGCAAAAAGACAGATTAGATAGAGGATGAGAGACTGTGAAGCAAACATCTAACGGAGATCTCAGGCTGAAAGTACTAGCCAGACCTTCGCATGACGTTTAACCGCCCACTGACAGATGCTGATTTTCACTTGTTTCTAGAATTAGAGATGACCCTGGGTGTTTATTCCTGAACAGTGTTTTTTCCTCCATTTTAAAGATGTCCATGACAGACGGTTTCACCAGTGACCTTTGAAAACCATCTCTACTTCTCACTCCACTGTCACAGTCTTAGTTCAGGGTCTTTTCATTTCCCCCAAATGTTAATGCAATTGCTGCTGCCTGCCTGCTACCAATTCTACCCATACCCTGCTCTCCCGGGCCCCAAACTGTCCCAAGCTCAATGTGAAGCGCAATGGTGAAATGTCAGAGCTCTGTTGGATCAGCACCCTTCAGAACTCCGCCCCTCCTACCTAAGGTTCATATAACCACAGTGAGGGGTGGGGCTGGCAGCGATTTAGCAGTATGTATATCACTACTTTCTCACATTCTGCCCTCTAGCGCTGAGCTGGCTTCTAAATGGAGATTTCAAAGTATCTATGCTTAAAAAAATAGATTAAAAAAAATCTGTAGTGCATGTCAAACATTAGTTTTGCCTAATAGATCTAATAATTCTCTCCTTTTTTCTTCCTTCTTTATAGAAGACACCCAAAGAAAATAAAAGCTGTTAATGAACAGTATTGATGGCTGCCTTTCAATCACTCCAAACATCCTAATTGAACTATGTAATTTTCAGCACATGAACATGTTGCTTTGGAATCATCTGTTGAGATTTTCTCCACATACGTGTAAATCTCATCTCTTTCCATCCAGAATCTAAGTGCCTCAGGGATTGTCTGACATTTCTCATCTTCTTTCATGACACTCCCTACCACTACCACCACCATCCCAGAGGTGATCAATAGACACTCACTCTTCAGCCCCAGAGAACTCCCTTTAGTTAAAGCTGGAGCTCTTTGTCATGGCCACAGACGATAGACAAATCCCAGAAAAACCACTTAAAATAACACTATTATGCACAAGGGAAGCTGATGAGAAGAATCTTAATGAATGAATGAACGAATGAACAAATAAATAAATACACCCTAAAACTTATTGAGTACTTACTATGTTTCAGACAGTGTGCTAAGCATTTTTCACAAAGATTTTCCCATCTACTGTTTACAATAACCCCATGAGGTACCTACTATTGTTTTCTTTTCCCTGTTTGCAAATGAAGAGGTTAGAGGTTAAGTAACTTGCCCACAGTCATAGAGCCAAGAGGTAGATGAGTTGGGATTTGAACCAAGAAAGTTTTAGCTCAAGAGTCTAAGCTCTTAATCACTCTACTTGACTTTCCATCCATCACTCACCACAGTCACTTTGTATATGGAAGCCTCAACTCAGGTATTTTACTTTGCTTTTAATCACAACCATTTCTCCTCTGCCTCACAATGCCTGTTATTCACTGTGGTTCCCAGGTTGCATAACCAACAATAAGTCCTTTGCTGCTGTCTGTCCTTAACTGGGACAGGCAGTCCCTGCTTTTGATGCTTTGTGGCTCACCCTGTGCAAATTCAACACTGTATAATTAACTCCTGTACTCCACTTCTCAATGCAGTTACACAACCGTGGTTTTGGGAGCAGGGACCAACGTGAATAATGGCTCGGGGGCAACTAGAAGAGGAAAAAGAACGACGACCTGCTAGATCTTAAAGACATTCCAAAGACACATAAGGATAATTAGCCAATTAGTCCCCCATGCCGTCTCAGAATGAAGAGATATATTGCCCCTCCTTCCTTCTACACACTTTTGACTTGAACTTCTTTTCACTTATTAAAGCACACACTGATATTTTCACGTTCCTTTTTGGGAGTTCGGGGGGAGGACAAAAAAAGAAAAGTGAGGAAGAAAGAGACAAGGAAATGAGAACAAACAAGACCAGGTTCTGAGATCACTAACTCTCTGAGTAAGTGCTTCTCAAACTGGAACTCGCATCAGAATCCCCTGGGGTCTTGTTCACACAAGGTGCTGATTCAGTAGGTCTGTGTCTGGGGAAGGGGAAGCTGAGACTCTGCATTTCCAACAGATTCCTCCGTGATTCTGATGCTGTTGATTTTGGGAAGACATTGATTAGCAAGACTCTAAATCCTTGCAACTACAATTCTTAAAGACTTCAGTTACTTAGATATCACAATAGCTATTTTAAACATTCAAATCTAAGTAATGAACGTATGATTTGGAAAACTTCTGCTACCCTGAGTGAATAAAAGGCAACATCAAAATTTTCCTCACCTAGCTTAAAGAAAAATGACCAGAACCATCTAAATCAGTCTTAAAGAGCCTTTCTCAAAATGCAAAAGAAATGACTAAATCAGTGATAAAACCAAGTTATTAAATCATATTAATTTTTACTAATATATTGATCTTAAGTTTACGATACATTTATATTTTTAGGTTTCTTTAATAATCCTTTGGAATTTTTGTTATACTTAACGTGTCCATACTTCCACGTTTTTAAAACAGAATTTCTATAAAGTATTCTGGGAAGAGAATATTTTCCATTGGGAATCAGAAAAGAGAAGTTCTGGTGTTGGCTCTGCAGTTAAGTAGCTGAAATCAGTCAGCTTGCTGGTTAGCTTGGCTGCTTTGGGTTGGTTTCTTCACATAGAAAATGAAAGGCTTAGCTAGTGATCTCTGTGGTTTTCTTTTAGCTCTAAACATTTATAACACTCATATTCAAGTTTATTGCCCTAAAGTTTAAATCATTACAAAAGGTTATAACTGCATAGTTAGCATTATGACACAGTGTCAATCAAGCTATGGTTTATTAGATACCAAAATGGCTTTGGTCAGGTGTTCAAACACCTCCATAGTTCCTGTGGGATGTGCTTAACCATTCACCACTAACAGGATTCCTAAGAATACTTAATGTGAGAAATAGGGACTGCTTCCATAGCTATAGTTGGCTCATGGAGGTAGTTCTAAGGCACTGACAAAAAGGCAATAAGCAAATAAGCGCAAGTGAAAGATAACAGATTTCCTTCATCTACATGTAGCTTTTTTTATCCTCTGCAGACAGCTAAGAATAATGAACTTTTTTCAGAGTCCTTTACTGATTTGCTAAGACAACTTCTTACTTATGCAATAGAAACACTTGAATATGGAAGAGCTCATTTCCTAATGTTGATGAAGCAACTCTTCAAAACTGAAAGAAAGGCTCACGTGCAGACTCCAACATTATGGTCAATTTGATTACCCAAGTCTACTGCAAGTGACGATGCGACTGAATTCTCTGTTGGTATGGTTGCTTAAAACGGATTCTAAGACTACTCAGAAATATATTCTATGACATTTAAATACATTTAGTCTCGGGGCTGGCCCCGTGGCCGAGTGGTTAAGTTTGAGCACTCTGCTTCAGCGGCCCAGGGTTTTGCCGGTTCGGATCCTGGGTGTGGAGGTGGCATCGCTCATTAAGCCATGCTGGGGCAGCGTTCCACATGCCACAACTAGAAGGACACACAACTAAATATATACAACTGTGTACCGGGGGCTTTAGGGAGAAAAAGGAAAAAAACAATCTTTAAATACATTTAGTCTTTATCTCTATTAGCAAATCCCAAACTACATTTCCATAAACTGATTATGCTCAGCAATATTAGTCTACAAAATTTGCATGTGATAAGATGCACAGAATGCCTGTTGACAAGTGAGTTTTTAATTAGATCTCTTGATTTGAAATAAAGAAATCTACATAAAAAAGAAAAAAAATTCAAATCTACTAAAACCAGACATCTTGAAAAAGCATGTGTTCTCTTTCTCTGTACATTCCTACTTCAGTATGTTCTCTTTTCTGCAGTGTAAAAAATCCTACCTGTATAGTATTACTGTTTTAATAGAAACATTAGGTCTAACAGAATTATCTTTTCTCTCCAGAAGATATTATTTACATTTATTCAACTTTTTTAAACGAGTAAGGATTTAAAAGACAATTAAGTGATGTCTGTTTAACTAAGCCTAAGGACGAAAATCATCTAACTAATCATCAAAATAGGATGAAACTCTTAATTTATTTAACAAAATACAGTATTTTTAGTATTATCTTAAAATACCAAAAGTTGATATACATCAACATTATAACATAATTGTAACATTATTTCCTTGTAATTGTATAATGAATTTCTAAATTGAAAATTTTTCATGATTTTAGTTCATAGTGCTATTCATTAAAGCAAATATACTCAATCCTCAATATTTATTCACTTTAACTTTTAGCTTTGATTATATGCAGAAATTTAATGGGGCATTTACAGGTATTTAGACTTTGACAAAAATTGCATCTTGTGGTGATGTTATAGACAGTGTGGATACAAAAAGTCTCAGATTTTGGTTTTAAATTATATACTATGCATATAATAGTAGAACATAAATTGAAAACATACTGCATGGATATGACTCAGTAGGAGGAAAATATTTATCCTCATACTTTATCAAACCTCACACTTCCTATTCCTTTAAATGTGAGGACTGATCTGAAGAAAAAAATTATTCACTCCTATATACTGATATCTATTAAATATTTTCTAACAAATTAAATAGAGCCCACCAAAATCTCAAAATAGTCCCCTTTTGTACGGCTTCTTTCAGACTCTAATTATCAGAATTTTCAGTTTTACATATTTAGCACATTTTTGCATAAAAAGAAACTCAGAATTTCTTTAGTTTTTAGACTCAGGTCTTTATAAAGCAAAATTATGAAATGGATTGTTCACTATATATACTGTGCCCTTTTACAGAGGAGGAAATTGAAGTTCAGAGAGGTGTAAACTCCCTCAGGTTTACACAGCTCTGATTCTCTCTCATGTAATCTGGCTTCAGAGTGTGTCCTTAATAAGGACATAATCCTTGTTCTCAACTAATGCTGCTATTCACATAAATATTTGGCTATACATCTAGTTATTTTCTTAGAAT